GCAGCAGCTGGTGCAGCAGCCATGCGACCAGCCACAGGCCCGACGTGGGCAGGCCGGGCAGCACGAGCAGCCGCACGAGGGCCGCGGTCAGCTCGTCCGAGAACGTCGAAAACATGGCCGCGTCCCAGCCGTCCGGCGTCGCCAACGACTCCCGCCGCCGCTGCTGCTGCTGCTGCTGCTGCTGCCGCTGGTCATCCGGATCGCCCGCCAGCCCGAGCGCCCCCAAGCCCGCCGCAACCCCCTCCGCCAGCTGCTGCTGTTGCTGCTGCCTGCCCGCCGCCACTGAAAGGGCCTGAAGCTCTGCTGGCAGGTACTGCCCAGTCAGCAGCTGCACCAGCTCCGACGCGTCGCCTGCACCGCCGCTGCCGCCGCCGCTTCCGCTGCCGCTGCCGCTGCGCGCGAGCTGCTGCTGCTGCTCTGCGGGCCCCGTGGCCCCGCCGCCGCCGTTGACCGCCACCGCCGACCGCAGCTGCTCCAGGCACGACTGCACCAGCAGCCGCGCCTCCCCCGCCGCCGGGCCGCCGCCGGCGCCGCCCGGCTCGGCGCGCCGCCGCGGCAGCAGCGACAGCGCCGACAGGAGCTCAGCTGACAAGTGTCTGCTGCCGAGCATGGCCGCCAGCACGCGCAGCGCCAGCATCGCTGGGTAGGGCTGCGCGCCGCCGAGAATCTCCAGCAGCGTCCGCTTGCATGACGCGCCGCCCCCGTCGCGCGCGCGCGGCGCCGGCGCGCCCGTCAGCTGCCTGCTGACGGGGCCGCCGCAGACCAGGGCGAGCAGCATCTGGTGCAGCAGAGGGCCGTAGGATAGCAGGACAAACAACCGCTCTAGAACAAACAGGCAGCAAACCGGCCGCACCCGCGGGGCCGACGGCGGCGGCGGCAGCTTGCCTGCGGCCGCGGCCGCCAAGCCCCCGCCATCCGCGCTCGCGCCGCGCCCGGCTCCGCCGGTGCCCCAGCCCCCGCGCCCCGTGAGGCCGCCGCCGCTGCCGACGCTCATGAGGCCGCTGCTGAGCGCGGAGCCTGCCGCGGCTGCCGCAGCCGCGACCCGCGAAGACATGGGCACCGCAGACGCGCCCGCCGCTGGCGCCGCGGCGGCCGCTGCGGCGGCGCCGGGCGCCAGCAGCGGCCGCAGCAGCAGGGGGCTGACCACCGCTGACCAGAGGCCATGGGCCACATGCTCTGCAATGCCAGGGGCACCTAAGGGGGGGGGGCCGACGGCCGCACAGGCGGCGAGCACGTGTCACGTTCGAGCCCCTCCGGCCGCTGCGCCCCCGACTGCTGTCGGTTGCCTGGCAAGCCCTTGCGCCGCGCGGTTCAAGCTGATAGCATCACCTGCCACCCTGGAAGGCGCGCGAGACGCCCCCAGCAGCAGCGCAGGCCCCCCCGCGCCCACCTATGCTGAGGGTGTCGCTGCAGTAAGACACGATGTCCTCCACCTCGGCCATCTGCGAGTCCAGCGCCCCCAGCGCCTGCACGCCGCCCGCCTCCGCCGCCATCATGCGCCGGTCCAGCAGCTGCGGGCGGCCGGGGACGGGGGAGGGGCGTGGCGGGGCGGTCGGCGCTCGGGGGCGCCGTGTGGGAGGTGCTCCCTGCACGGCCCGTGCGAGTCGCCTCGTGGCGCTTGCTGCTTTCCTCCCGCCCCGAGCGTGACATGGCCTATCCGCCGCCTTTGCGCCCAGGTGCATGCCGGCCCTCGCGCCACTGCCTCTGCCGCGTTGCCGCGCCGCCCACCTGGACCTGCTCTGCCAGGTAGGCGGCCAGGTCCTCAAAATATCTGCTGGCCGGCGGCGAAGATACAAACGAGTGGATTGCGGGGTCGTCCACTGAGAAGATGTTGAGCGTGATCGTCCGCACGGCGGCGCGCACCATGCCCTCGCGGTTGTGCGCGAGCCGCACGGCGCGCGTGTAGAGTGGGAAGGCGGGCCGGGCGGCGGCGGGGCTGCTGGGGGCGTCGACTAGGAAAAAGTGGACTGTCGTGGGGTTGAGCTTGAGGCTGATGGTCTTGAGGAAAGACACATAGAAGCCCAGGACCTCCTCGTCGTCAAAGTCAAAGTCCAGGTCGACGATGTTGTTGACGTGGTTGTTGGAGAACAGGAAGAAGACGGCCGTCTCGCTGCGCACGTTTTGGATGATGATCGACAGCGTTTGCAGCACCTGCTTGGCGACGTCGCCGCTGCGGTTGGCCGGCTGCAGCAGGATTTTGTGCAGGTAGGTCATGATGTTATTCTCAAGCAGGTAGTCGAAGATGCGGGGCTCGTTCTGGTCGCCCCATATCATGAACTCGGCGATGGCCCTGATCGTCTCGACGACGACCGCCTTGTTGGACTCCGTCACCACCGGGTTTCTGATCAGCAAGCTATACAGGTCTCGTAGCTCGTCAAGCGTGAACTTGCGTTGCGTGGGCCCACCCAGCACGCTCGCCCAGAGGCTCTTCAGCATGGTGGCCGCTCTCGACGCCCAGAGCGCCTGAAACCTTTCTACGCCTTGAGACGCATCAGATCACACATCAATGGTTGAAGACATCAAGCGAGACTGTGCTGCATGGGATCGATCAAACGTGTTGCGTTCGCAGGCCTGCTTGTGTGCGCTGATTTATGAGGATACTCAGCGTCCTCGGCCTTTCCTTGCAACGCCATGCTGCAAGTCAACACCGCCAGCGTGCTGCGCCTGCTCTGCTGCCCTAGTTGGCGCTTTGCCACCTGCGCTCACCGGTACCTTGAGCTTCCCAGGGTGCCGGTAGAGGTGCAATGTACCGGTAGCAGTGGAAGCGACCCCTTAATATAAAAAAATTTTCACGCCCTGCGCTGCCTGTTGCCGCTGCGCCTGACCTGAGTCAACACATAAGGGACCACACCTGCTCCGTTTGCTGCTGCGAAAATGAGCGACATCTTTACACCGCTCGTATGTTGGTGGTGCGCGGAGTGGCACACATAAGTGCACTGGACAACTGACGGTCAATCAACGCAGGTAGACGCCACACTCAGTCAGTCTGCAACGCCGCCCTCCTCTTCAATCCGTCGCCGCTCCTCCTGCCAGCCAGTGAGGGAGTTGCCGAGACGAGCCAGGCTCAGTGGGAGGGCTGCCCAGTCACGACGTTGACCTGACAGCCACACCTCTGGCAGCCATACCATGCACGTGCAGCACCGCAGTAGCTGCCAGGCTCTGATGGGCACTCCCACCTGCCGTGCGAGTGACCTGGCTGCCGCTCTGACCTGCACACCACCCCTTCAGCACCCCGGCCGCCACCACCTTGTCCGCAAGCCCTGACCTGCAACCTTCATAAAGCGCACGCCCCCACCTGCTGCATGATCTCCACCAGCGCGCGCAGCGTCCGCCGCTCCAGCTTGTCCAGCTTGGGCTGCACCTCGCGCTTCAGGTCCCAATTCGCCTTCTTGGGTGCCACGCTGGCCAGCAGCTCCTGCACGGGCGCGCCGGGGCAGGCGCACAAGCGCGATGCTTACATGCGCAACACCACTTGCATCAGGGTGCTGGACGTCTTGCTGCGGGTGCAGTTAGTGTGCCTGGTCACGTACGGCCACCAACATTGCGGCAACATCCAGCCTGCCGCGCACCTCCTCGCCCGCGTCTTCTGGCCGCTGCTCCACCACAGGCTCCTCAGCCTTTGGCACTTGGGCTGGTGCTACCTGCACCGTGAAAGGGTACGGCGACAGGAGGCGGGGGCCTGTGCGTCCCTGGCGGCTTGGCGACGCTGCTGCGCGCATCCCCGATGCATCCCCATGGTTGCCGCTCGCTGACAACACTACTCCAACCAAGCTGCACCAGGCAAGAGGAGGAGCCTGTCCACATGACAATAAGCAGCCATGGCGATGCATCCGCAAGCCGAGTGCAGAGCAGCGCCACTACGGCAGCAGCATTCGACGACAGAACGTTGCAGTCGAGGTTGTGTGCTTGCGGCTCGCCCACACCTGTTCGTGCTCTATGTGCTTGCTGTCCTTCACCACATAGTTTCTGAATTTCAAAACTGGCTTCTCTGGCTCCTGCTGCTCATGCTCCTCCCCCGCCGGCCCAGCATCGCCCGCTGCACCATCGCCCGCGAGCGCTGCCGCCGCCTTGAGGGCCTTCAACCGCTCCCGCCTCGCTGCAGCCTCTTCCATCTGTGTGACTGTAAGTAATATTTGTAGGCTGTGCTGTTATAGAGAAAAACAGCAGGTGAGTGCAGGAAAAGATACACGTAGCAGACGATCTAAAGCGTCCTTCACGCGTGCAAATGAACTATTGATGGTGTTTGTTGTGGGCGTGAAATTCTCTTACCAGCAACCACTGCCACGTTTCACAGAAGTTGATGTACGGTAAACTCGCAGACTGTCGCAGCAGATCATTTCGAACTGTGTGCTTCCAGGGGCTGATATGCGTGATATGTTTCATGACACCATTGCCATATACTCTTTCCGCTAAGCCGTGCTGGGTGCAGCGGCGATCTTGTCTGACCTGCTACTTGACTGTGCCGTCAGCATTGCATAACGCGGACAGCACGCTTTTCCACAATGACAAATCTGCTTTCTTAGTCTGATTACGCGGCATCACCGCCAGCGGCGCTGCATACAAGGCTGGCTGGCTTTGAAGAGAAGGGCCGGGCGCCAGGCGGCGCGGCGCCCTTCTGTCATTGCTGCTCGCCCCAGAATTATAGCAGCCGCGCACAAAGGCCTGCTGCAAAGGCGTGGCTTGGAGATTGATGGGCCACGGAAAGGCCGGCGCGCTCCCGCCGCCGGGGGCCCCCACCGCCCCAGCCCTCAAAGCAGCGATGGATAACAGCTGCATGGTGGGCACGCTGCTCCAAGAAGGCTCCAGCGGGGCTGCCGCTACCCCTCAGCAGCCGCGATGCAGCGTCATGCGCAGCCAGTCATCAAGCCTGCCGCCTCCGCGTGGCATGATGGGTGACGTTCGGGCACTCTCCTTCGGCCCGAACGGCCGCGTCGCGACGCCCTTGGAGCCGCGCCCCGTCTCCCCAGTGTTGAACGCAGCAGCGCCGCCGGCGCCCTGGGCCCGCTTGGCCGACAGCGCCGCCGAGACGCAACCTCCTGCGCCAGAGACGCGGCTGCGCCGCGCAGCATCACCGCCCCGCTGCAGCCCAGCCTCAGCCACCTGCGCGGACTCACGCCCCCAACCAGCTGAGGCAGGCGCGGCACGCGAGGCTGGCTGGCGGGCGTACCTTCTAGGCGCGCCCGCTGCGCCTGCGCCGGCGCGGCCGGGGCATCTAAGGGTTGAGAGCCTGCTGTACCGCAGTTGGGCGCACGGCGGCTGCGTCGACGCGGTTGTGGGCACAACGGGCAGCCCAGAAGGAGGATCAGTCGGCAGCGAAGGACTCAAAGTGAAGGACGACAGGATCTTTGCACAGCAACAGCCAACACCGGTTTTGGAGGGTGCACGGGCTGCGGCTGCGGCGCCATGTAGTGCGCCGTCCGGCGGCTGCGACGCCTGGGGTGCGGGTGCGGCGACCGGCGGCGAGGATGGCGTCGGCGGCCCCTGCCACAGCGGCAACAGCTGGCTGCGGCTGCACTTCCCGGGCGCGCGGCCGCCGCGGCGGGAGGACGCGCGGTCGCTGAGGGCGTGGCTGCAGCAGCAGCTGGACGGGCTCCAGCAGCGGCTGGCGGCGCCCGGCGCGCTGGGGGCGGCGGGGCTGGCGGGGGGCGGCGGCGCTGGAGATCGTGGAGCGGCCAGCGGCGCGGCGGCGGGGGCGGCGTCTGTTTCGTGCGTCCCCGACTTGGGGGAGCAGACGTCCCAGCTGCTGGCCCTAGCCACCCTGCCCGGCGGCGCGCTGGATGTGGACGCGCTGCAGCAGCAGCAGGCGGTGCTGTCGGCGGCGTTTGGGGAGCTGTGCCGCCAGGTATGCACCGCTGCGGGGTGCGGCGCCCACTGTCGGTGTTCGCCGGATTTTGCGTGCGGGATGTCAGACTCTGATCCCTCGAGGGATCGGCAGCACGAGCAGACGCCCATCCTGTTTGCCACATGCATGAGTGAAGGAGAATTTCATTGCAGTGTCGTTTCGCTGGCTGCTTCTCCCCTTGCACCTTGGACGCCCGCCAGGTGTCCGTGGGCTGCATCGAGCGGGGCCGCCTCATGGCGCAGTGCTGGCTCGCGCTCGGCGACATGCTGCGCGCCGCCCTAGCCGACCGCGGCGCCGCGCTCGGCGCCGCCGCGGCCGCGCGCGGCGGCGAGGCGGGCGCGCGGGGGGAGGTGGAGGACACGCGGCAGCGGGCGCGCGAGGAGGTGACGGCGCTGCGCGTGCTGATGGAGCGCCACGCGGCCAAGGCGGCGGAGGCGCGGCGCGAAAAGGACGTCTTTGTAGAGAAGAATCGGCAGGTGACTATGCCCTAACCAATCCATCACACGGCGGTTTGTTTGTCGCTGAGGTTTGGCGAGCTGAGCGCTCAGTTGCAAAGTTCTCGAGGAACCCCGACATCACAGGGGCCAGCTGCGTCCATGACGCCATGTCCGTCGCACTCATTGCTCCGGGCGCGCATATCTGCACACCCCGGCCTTTGCAAATCTCAAGCAACGCTCCAGACACGCACAGTTGCCACAGTTGCGCGTGCGCGCACACACACACACACACACACACACACACACACGCACGCACGCACGCACGCACGCACGCACGCACGCACACACACACACACACGCACATTCTCTCACTCAAACACACACGCACACCGCCCGTCGTCGCGCGTCGCTGCTTGCAGCTGGAGGCCGCCCTCGCGCGCCTCACCAGCGTCCAGCTGCTGGTGCAGCGCGTGGACGAGCTCGAGACGGAAAACCTTCGCCTGGCGGATAGCGGCGCGGTGCTGCAGAAATCCCTGAACGAAGCCCAGAAGGAGCTCTCGTCTGCGCGCTGCACGGCGGAGGACAGGGCGGCGCGCGCGGCGGCGGCCGAGGCGGAGCTGGCGCGGGCGCACGAGCAGCTGGGGACGTCGACGCCGCGGCCGCGGAGGGACATGGGTCTGCTGAGCGACCTGCTGAGCCCAGAGGAGCTGCTGCTGGTCGAGCAGGCCCTCATTGCAGGCGCGCACTTGTGTTACCAACACTGGTGGAAAGGCGCATCGCACAACGATGTCCTCGTGCTTCATACTGTACACCTATCCTGATGCTTAGAGCTGCTGCTCTCAAGAGTGTGGCATGCAGGCTCCCCGCAAATGCCTCAAGGCACGTCTCGTTTTGCTGCTGGTGTATTTCCCTCACACTTTGAACGCAGGCATCCCCTCGGAGCACGTGCACCGCATGCTGCTGGCGCTCACGCCTGGCGGCGCGGATGTGGGGCCCTGGGCGGGGCTGCTGGGCTGCTGCCGGCCCGCGCTGGACGCCGAAAGTGAGGGCATGAGACGGGCAGCCGCGCATGTCGCGCGCTGTTCATGCATCCGTGCTGTGCACATGAGATGCTTCAAGCAAAACGTCGGGCGGATGCCGCAGCCTGCAAGCCCTTGTTCCACTCAGCGCCCTGCCCCGCATGCTCACAGCTGATCATCACTACACCCTTGCCTCGCGCCCCCCAGCCACGCCAGCAGGCCGCGAGCGGGTGCGCGCGACGCTGCTCGGCCTGCTGGGCGCCTGCGACGCCGCAGGGCTGTCTGCTTACGCTTCGCCGAGCGCCATGGCGCTGCTGTCGCGCGCCATCCACGTGGGGGCGGACTGCGATGCATTGATGGCGCTGATGGTGAGTCCGCGGTTGGCATCGAGTCGCGGTGATGCAGGTGCAGGAGATCAGGGGCGTGGAGGCGCGGGGGGAGGGGAGGGGAGGGGAGGGTTCTGTGCGTCACCCGCGATGCATCAGGCGGCTGGTCGCGCACGCAGACCTGGCGACCAAGATTCAGCGTTGTCTCCGCCGCTGGGCGCTGTCCGACAGTTGTCTGACGGTAAAGGTGGGACAGAGTAGTAGACATTCTATCTAAACCCTGACCCTTTGGCCACGCCTGCAAAACTGCCCTCCTGCCGCCCCATTTATTGCCATCACTCCCATGCGCCCCAAGGACGGCTCCCTGGGCTGCCCCGGCGGCCTGGACTGCAGCCCGTACGTCCCGCTGCTGGGCGCGCTGAGTCAGCGCTACGGCCACGACGCGTCGGAGCTGGGCGGACCCGTCACGGCCGCGCTTGCGCACGCGGCGCTGTCGACGCGCGGCCGCATGGACGAGCTGGTGGAGCGCAGCCGGACGCTACACAGGTGGGGGGCCCACGCGTGGACGCAGCTCAAGCACGGGGCGGCATGCCGCAGGCTAGAAGCGACAGCACGCAGGGTTGGGGGCGGGGCCCCAGTGAAGGCCGCGCACTGGAGGGGCAGGGGGTGACGGCGGCTCAGTGCGACTCCGGTTCCCACAGATTTGGCACGCCCTGCTGCGCCGGCTCCCTGGTGTGCTTAAAAAATTGTGTCTGTGGAGGTGCCTCTTTGCCTTTCCGCTTGCACTCTGCTCCGCCCGCCCATTGATGGCCTTGACGGCCCCCCCGAACCGCCACCCACCCCACCTCGGTTGCCGCCCAGGGAGCTCGTCATGTGCAAGCGCGCCCTGGCGGAGCAGCGCAAGCACGAGGCGGATCGGCTGGAGGCCGCGCTGCGCGACCAGCACCGCCAGATCATGCGGCGCAGCGCGCGGCCGCTGTCGCTGATCGACAAGTTCCTGCAGACCAAGTGGGGCGACTACTACACGGTGGGAAGAATCGCGACGCGTCACAGCATCCAAGGCTGTGTGAGCGAATAAACCAGCATCGTCGCAGCAACAAACCTGCTGAATCGCGTTGTGTCACAACGGGTGGCCAGAGATTGTGAGTGTGGCTGGAGAAACAAGAGGGCCACACTTGGCAAAGGACACGACTGTGATCTGCTGGGCTGTGCGCACCGACCTCGGAAACCCCACCACGCGACGCGCCGTCTTCAGGGCATAGGCATGTTCGAAGAGCTGCCGCGGGTCCTACGCTGCAATGTGCCCGTCAACAACAAGTTCGTGCGCGCGAGCGCGCGCGTGATTGCGTGCGTGTGCGCCCGCACACACTCATTTGCAAGCTGGCCTGATCTCATGCAGTGCAGCTACGGTCATGGCAGGCATTGCCTGGCACGCATGTGCCCTCCTCCGCGGCACGCGTATTGCGGTGCGCCAGCGCGCCCCTTGCTGCGCTGGCAGACCACCCTTGCAACCCATTCGCGCCGTCGCCCCGCCGGCTCTTCCACCTGCGCATGCGCCATCAATCACAGGCGCATGTCCAAGCGCGAGGCGGAGAAGCTCGTCCAAGAAGTGTGGGCGGCCAAGGACGAGTACGAGGGGCTGCTGGGGCACAAGGTGCGGGCGGCGCACGGGCCGCGAGCAGCGCGCCCACCACCTGCCAGCTGCTGGCTGGCCTGGCACTGGTACCCTCGCTCTGGGGGATCTTGCAGGCCACCTTGGATGCATAACGCGAGCCTTGGGGCGTGCGTGTGAGAGGTTTCAGGCAAGGTGAGGGGCGGCTTTGGGATGCCTGGCGTGAACCTCGGCCCAAGCGCCAGTCATATTGTGTGTGACCCACCGGCGCAGGTCCACCTCCACGAATTCCTTTGGACGTTCCTTGAGAAGCGCTTCTTCGCCATACCCCGCCTCGTCATCGAGGTGCGGCTGAAACACCCGGTGGCGCTGGCGCGAAGCAATGTGTGGTGGTGTTGCAACAGGGATGACGCGCGTAAACAATCCATGTGCCGCCTGTGCACGCCCCCACGTGCTTGCACACGCGTACCCCTGATTAAATGCATTTTTGGATTGAGGTCTGGTGTCTTTATTTGGGATCTCTATGGGTCAGCACGCAGTAAGACAATATGTATGCCTGTGTTGGCGTGTGTTCTTGATGGGTGGTGAGTGAATACTGCCCTGGTTGATCTGGCCAAACACCCCAGGTGGCATACAACATGATCTATTCGCTGGGCCAGCACAGCTACGACGCCGACTGCAACCTGTTCCTGAGGATATTCAGTGGCGACGTCGAGGAGGGGGTGCGGCAGGAGCAGGAGGCGCTCGAAGAGCAGGTGGGCGTGCGTTGTGTGTGTGTGTGCGCGCGCGCGCGCGTGTGTGTGTGTGTGTGTGTGTGTGTGTGTGTGTGCGCGCGTGCTTGCGTGCGTGCGTGCGTGTGTGTGTGCGCGTGCGCGCGTGTGTGCAGCCTGGTAGAGGTCCCCCTTACTACCCCCAGGGGAGGAACCAGGTGTGATGCAGAAGCACATTGCTGCGCGCTGGTGGACAATTAAGTTGGAACTCACCAGCGACACGCGTCTGTCACCGCATGCCACCCAAATCGACACGCTTGAAAGCGTCCTGAGCGCACGGCGTGCTTGTGCGGTCTGTGCGCTGCCTTTGGTTTGCTGCTTGCATTTCGGTAGTGGTGGCGTCGGCGCAGCTGACAGCTTCGCCCAGCTTATCCACGTGCTGTGCTCGCCCCCACTCCTTTTCTACCTTGTCATCTGCGTGCATCCTGGCCCCTGACCTCAGGTCTTGACCACACTGCGCCTGGTGGACGCAAGCATCAACCACCAGGCCACGGGGTGGCTGAACAAGGGGGATGTCAAGACTGCGCTGGCGGGCTTCTTCAAGGGCACCAAGAAGGTCGACCGGCTCGACGAGGTGATGCGGGATGATCAGGGGAGTGGTGTTAGGGAGCCTGGCGGCTTGGGCTATTGGGCAGCTTGACAGCTGAGTGGGAGCTTAGGGGCTTGGGAGGGAAGGCGGGCGGGCAGCAGTGCCGCACAGCAGGAGCGAGGGAGCAAGGGGGCAACTCTGGGAGCGGCGATGATGGGGCGGGGCAAGCGCCACGTCTTGTGATTTGGGTATCAAGCGGGCTGCAAGCACCCCTGTGGATCTGCGATTCCGCGAGAATGCCAGGTTTTCACGATTCCTGTCCACTGTGAAACCCCTGGCCCACCTGAATCCCGCACCTGCACCCGTCCGCACCGACCACATGTCCCCTCCACCCCACCCCTCCCATCTCCACATCGTAATCTTGCACCCGACAGACCCCTTCTCATCTCCACCCCTCACACATCCACAACCAACACCCCCTCACCAATCCACCGTTTGCAGGTGTACGAGGCGCTGGACACCGACGAACCCGGGGAGGTGGTGCCATACCCGCGACTGTTTGATGATGATAGTGACATGAACCAGGTGCGGGATAGCCCGGAGGTGTGCATGCACGAGGTCGGTGAAAGGTTATGTTGGGAAGCTGGGGAGGTTGTGCGATCCAGTGGGAATGCATCCATGGGGGAAAAGGGGACGGGGTGGATGGTGACGGCTCGCCCCGGTGGTTGGTTACGAGTGAGCCGCGGGTTCTGCCGCGCTCTCCCTGTGTGCTTGCAGTCAATGTTTGCGGAGACTGTCAGGGGTCAGTGCCTGGCGGAGCGCCTGGAGTACCTCCAGGTGAGGCGCGTTCGCCGCAATGTGTGTGGGCGTGCAGGATGATCGTGGGCAGTGTGTGTGGGGGTGGGCTGATTGAGAGGCAGGCTTCCACCTGGTCGTGCATACCATGGGCGTGGGTGACTATAATCTGATTATTGTCCTATGGATACCCGAGGCACGGGTTTCACGGCGTCCACGGTAGACAAAGTTCATTTCAAGGCTCAACAACAACAGCAACTACGTACGAGCCGCCATCCCAGCACAGCAACCCTCGAGTGTGCTGAATATATGACATTATACCGTAATCGGGCTCTTGACGTGTAGCTTGTTCGCCCAGATTGTCTACCCTCTGCTTCCCGCGGGGCAATTTCTGCAATTGAGGAATCCCTTCAAATTACCGTTCTGCCAGCATGCACACAGCACAGTTTGCAACGTGGCTCGCACGATCAGAACAAAATTGTGTTATTGCTTCTATTTACGCACATCATATCCCTCTTGCGGCGGTGGCGCGCATGGCGCAGCTCCGCGAGGGCCTCATGGCTGTGATAATTGAAAAAATTACAGACATGCGTGCCCTGGTACCGCGTGTGGACTCGAATACGGGCAAGCGCCAGGGGCAGTGGCCAACATCGGCGCTGCCCAACTTCATCCAGCCGCTTCCAAACCCCACCTTGGAGTTTGATCCTGAGGCGCAAGCGCTGATGAGGGACATTGCTGCAGAGCGGTCCCACTTCATGCACAGCTGGCTGGTGCTGTTTGCACCACACCTGTTCTGGCCGGGGCTGGTGGAGGTCAAGTGCCCGCTGTGCCGGGGCAAGGCGACCGCCGACGGGTGGAGCAACAAGGTTCACCAGATCACTGGCCTGTCCGGCGTCTGGTACCTGAACGGCGCACGCTACCTTTGCTCGGACTGCCCTGGTGAGGCCGGCGCCGGCGATCACGCCGACACGCCTCAACCGCCCGCAGCGTCGCGATGCACGCTCCACGCGGCGTGCGTGCGCAGTTGTTTTGGGAAGAGGGGGGGGGATGGCGTCAGGGTGTACAAGAAACGCGTGCGCTCTTGCAGGTGCGCTCGCTTCGCGCTGTTGGGCTGCTTGCATGGCTCCTCTGCCGCCTGCTGCTCAACACACCTGATCCCCATCGACACACTTCACACATACACGCACCCCTCCAGGCCTGCAACAAGGCAAGGAGTACAGCCCCGCGGAAGTTGGCCAGGTGGTGGGGGAGGTGCTGGAGGAGGAGGGAGAGGAGGGGGAGGGGGAGCAGGAGGAGGAGGAAGCTGGCGCCGCAGCAGACAGCCGGCAGCGGCGGCGGGAAAGCGGGGCAGGGGCCAGCACGAGCGGCCGCGAGCAGCGGCAGGAAGAACAGCAGCTGCAGCGTGAGCACGCACAGGCAGACACGCAGAAGCGGCGGCAGCAGCGGAGTTTAACTTTCACAGCGGTTGACCCCCGCGTGGTGGCGCAGCTGCCCGAGTTTGCTCGCCGGCAGGTGCCTTTCCTGGACAGCATCAAAAGCAAGGCGGCCGATGCGCTGGTCGTGGCGGAAGAGCTGCGATCAGAGGCGCTGCAGCTGCGCCGCGAGAATGCTGCCCTCCTCCTGCGGCTGGCTGAAAGCCGCAGGGCTGAGGCTGCGCTGCTTGAGCAGGTGGCGGGCTTCCACACAGCTCGACTGGGTGCGCAGGGGCAGGGCGGCGAGCAGCAGCAGCAGCAGCAGCAGCAGCAGCAGCAGCAGCAGCAGCAGCAGCAGCAGCAGCAGCAGCAGCAGCAGCAGGAGGTGGCCCAGCAGGCGGCGGCAGCGGCGCGGTGGCCGCAGCCTTTGCCTCACGCAAGCGGCAGCAGCGGGCGCCACGCACAGGTGAGGACCGGGGCCCGTTGCATCTCGTTTGCGCACCAGGTCAACTGGTCGGTGCACCCTCTCAGCAGGCATGCGCGCGCTGCATTGCATTGCCAGATGCCACCCGGTGGGTCAGCATTGCGGAGGGCCGTGCGTTTCAAGTGCCGCTACACCACACACCAAAGGCACCAAAACAACTTGCCAGCTCATTTTGGTCAAATTAAACAGCGTTGCGCAGCGGCGCAGCGTGTGCAGCTCTATATATGTCATGCCTAATCCGGTCAACCTGCTGCAAATTTTACCAAATCGGTGTCGAACGAAACACCCTTCGTGATTTCCTCCCCCATCGCAGGCTCCTACACCTCAGCAGCAGCTGGCACCTGGCCTCATGGCGCTGCTGCAGGCCGGCCAGCCCCCGCAGCAGCCGGCCGGAGCATCGTCGCAGCCACCGCCGACGGCTGGCGGGCTGCTGCCCGCCACGTTGCCGGCCAACTGGCCGCTCTCGCTGCTCGGCGGCGGACTGCCCGCAGGCATGCTTATCAGTGGCGGGCTGCTGCCGGCGGCGGTCATGGGGACTGGCGCGCCGGCGCCGCCGGCGCTGGCAGCCCACTCGGCTGGTGGGCTGGCGTCGCAGGCGCTGGGGCTGGGAGGGCTGGCAGCGCTGGCCAGCGGCCTCGCCATGGAGCTGCCGGCCCCCCAGCTGTTAGCCGAGGAGGCCGCCAGCGAGCAGGGCCAGAAGCGCAAGCGGATCCCCACCAACGCAGCGGCAGAGGCGGCAGCAGAGGCAGCAGCCAAGCCCACGTCGCACCGCGGCCGCAAGCATAAGTGCCGCTCCTGCGGGCGGCTGATCTCTGAGGGGGGCAGGATCAGCCACTGCCCTTGGGGCAAGGGCTTTTGCGCCCATTTGTGCATCGTGTGCAATGAACCCATGGCATCACACACCGCCCCTTGCTACAAGTGTTAGTCCGGCCTCAAACACATCCAGGTTTCTGGTTCAGTCGTGCCTCTTTTCTTGGCAGCAGCTTTGCTGCAACGCTCAAGTGCCATTTGGTTATGGCAGCTTCGCCTTTTGCAGCGACTCTGTTTGCAGCCTGGCTGAGCGGCGCACTCAATTTGCCTCAAGCAGCGGCAAAGTGCTGCGAGCGTCAACCCTGATCGCTTTCTGTAAGTCGATGATGCCAATCTCCAGTGCCATCACAGGCCCATCCCTGCTGGGCTCCTGCCAAGCACCCCACACTTTTGACTCAAATACATGTTGTAAAAGCAGGCGGGCGCCCAAAAGGCACCCCCTTGCGTGGCCACAACTCCAGCGGAACCGCTGGGCGCCGAAGGCCCAGCGATATGCCATGAGTGCCCCTTGGGCGCTGCCCGCAACCAATGATTCGTTCCCAACCCCTTTCTTGTCAGGCCCTCGCGTGCTCTGAGCGCGTGGGGGACGGATAAGTACATCTGCAACCTAGGCTGTTGTGTCGGTGTGGGTGTGGGTGTGTGGATGTGTGTGTGCGCGCGCATGCGCTTTTGCCTGCGTGCGTGTGCTGGTGCCCTTGCCTGGGTGCGTGTGTGTCTGTGAGGGGCTGTGGGAAGGCGGCAGGTTTGGGCCCAGGGATGGGGCGGACGGTGCAGCTGCTTGGCTGCGTTGTACTGCACTCCACAACGGACCTTGACCGTTGAACAAATACGTGGCTGTGCGTCTTCCGGAAACCATCGGGCGACAACGCCCTTGCGTGACCACCAACCTACCGCAACAACCGTTACCTCACACCACCACGCGCCGGCCCAACCCCGCAACCAGGAAATCGAGGACACCATCCGCGACTTTGCAGAGGACAACGCCACCACCGACTTGACGCCCGGGATGCTGGCTTCGGCCCTCAGAAAGGCCCATAAGGGTACCTTGGATGACGACATGATTGAGGCCTTTGTGGCGCGCGCATTCGGGCCCGATTGGAGGCTGAGGGAGAGGTCCGCGCTCGCGTCGCTGTCCGCGGCGATCCGAGCGCTCCGCCGCGGCAGCCTCGGGCAGGCCGACGCGGCGGCCGGCGGCGCGGCGGCCGGCCGCGGCGG